AGATTTGTAGAATAGAAGGAAGAATCCAAATGCACCCTGATATTTCTGCTACACTATTTTTCAATAAGGATGCCCAGAAAAATCAATAGGGATAGGATAGCTTTTCACCAAGTGGTCCTAGAACAACAGCAACAATAACAACAAAAGGAAAACCCCTATATTATGTATAGAAGTTATGTAAAGACCTAAAGATAAAGGTAAAAAATTTGAAAAACTCTGAGAGGAAACCAAGGGTTGACATTTTTATGACTTGAGTTATGCAAAATAATTTATAAGATTGACACTCAAAGCACAAGTAACAAACTAAAAGTGGGTAAGTTGGCTTGCACCAAAATTAAGAACCTTCAAGGCTGAAATGACAAGCCAGGATATAAAAAAGAATATTTGCAAATTATATCTGGTAAGAAGCTTGTATTCAGAATAGTTGAAGAACTTTTACAACTCATCAATAAAAAAGTAGCATAAATAAATATGTACACATACATATACAATTTTTTTGTATGTGTGTCAGTGAGTAAGACTGGGCGGTGGTGGCACACACCTTTAATTCTAGCACACGGGAGGCAGGTCTTTGTGAGTTCTAGGCCAGCTTGGTCTACAAGAGCTAGTTCCAGGACATCCAGAGCTGTTACACAGAGAAACCCTATCATACAAAAAACAAAAACAAGTTGCCAGTGAGCACATGAAAAGGTACTAAATGTCACTAGTCTTTCAAGAATTACCACAGTGCCATATGATAAAAAAGTAGAAACAGGCATTTCTGGGATTGTGTAGCACCTGAAGAATTCATATACTGCTAGTGAGGATTATATATGAAGTATTATCAGACAACCTGACAGTTCTTAAGAAGGTTGAGCATGAAGTACCATGTGACCTAGCCAGTGGTTATGTAGAATATATCCATTCTGATTGTATATAGAACACTTCAAAGGAGGATTTGTGATATGTAGTTTGGCACCCTATAACCTACCCTATAGCTGTGTGGAATATAGCCATTCTTGCTGTAGATAGACTAACCCTTTAAAAGGAGACTTTGTGGCATGTCAGTTTTATCATAACCAATTGCTGATTGAGCTCCTCTTGGGTTTCTGTTGTGATGCTACATGCTTGATGTTAGATGCTGAATACAGAGAACTGTGAGCCCACTCTCCTAAAGCATTTCTGTTGTTGGTACTAGGCATTATTAAATAAAATCACAAATATGAGAGAAATATGTATTGAGAACTAGGAGAGCCTTTGGAGGTGGAGCCTAGTGGAAATAAGTTAGACCACTGTGAGAACATGCTCTTAAAGAGAATATTGGAGCCCCTACCCCTTCTTCTCTGTCTATCCTTTTGCATCATGAGAAGGAGCAGCCTCCTCTGCTATTCCTCCTGTTATGAAATGTACTCCCCCACTATTGGCCCTATAGTGACTAGGCCAAATCCCATCTGAAACTTTAGAGTCCATGAATAAAGTAAATCCTCCACTAAGTTAATTGTCTTAGGCATTTTATCATTACAGTGAACAAGTGCAGCATATGTAAATTCTGTATTGAGAGGAAGTTGTTATGCTTAAGAAATTCAAGGAAGGCTGGGTAACTGGGGTGCAGAACTGGGGCAAGAAATAGGGGGTGAAGTGAGTCAAGAGCAGACCATGAAACCCCACAGAAGCCTGTTTGGAGTATGTAGTTTTCTAGGCAGGGGATGATGCAACATGTGCCAGGAGATCAGCAGCAGAGAAGGGGAAACATGGATGTCAGAGGGCTTTTAGGAGATAGCGCTGATGCAGTGTGATGTGCTCCATGGCAGAGAAGGTGAGAGGGAGAGTGCAAGCCACAGCTCTGAGATGTGGCTTTTGAAAATGAAAATGTTGCAGTACGAATTTCAGCCAGAAAATCCCCCTTGGATTTTATTTTAAAGCACCTCAGGAAACATGGCTGCTTGCTTTCTGCTGGGAAGTATCGTTTTCTTACTATGCTAAGTCACACATATTATAGAATTGTGCAGCTTACTGATAGCAAGTGCTTTGAGAAAGCAAAAATTTAAGAAAATTTTGCAAATACTTTATAACATTGGCCATATTAATTTTGCTCTGAGCCTTGTCCTCATAAGAACCCTTATGTCCTTGGCCTGATGCTATGGAGATCATCTGTCATTTAAGTTTCTTCATGTTTCTGTAAGTAATGAAAGCAGACTCTGAAGTAATTGTCTGGCACATAGCTGCCTTCCAGTGACAGCTCTTTGGAATAAGTTCACTTTTAGCCATTTCTTATTTCCTTGGCCAGCCAAACTCCTCAAATGTCAAGTTCTTCTGTGTTTTTATTCTGAAGTTATTGAAGTTACCATCTTTCATTGTAACTTCTAAAGGCAACTTTAGAAATAACACTATGCTGAAATAAATTTTAAGTATTTAGTTAAATAATTTTAATAACACCAACTTTTTCAAATGCCCACTGAAAAATCTGTTATTCTGTATGTTGTTGGATTTGGAATACCAGCAGTCCTCAGAGCTAAAAAAGTAATAGAAATAAGGACAGCATGCAAGTGAGTGCGGGTTAAGTTTACTGTAGTGTGGCAGTTGAACATTCCTGCTAGCATACTAGTAAGGGACAAACAATAGAGCTGTGTAAATGTCCTCTGCTCATAGCAAAGCTGCAAGGAAATTTAAGTAAGAAAGTTCAGAAGTCATTTAGAGATAGCACTAGTGACTTTCGGCACCCTTTTCCAGGGACAGTATCATCAACATGTATTCCAGTGAGCAGCACACAGTAAGAAATAGGGACTTGGATGCCCAGTCTTTCCATGTGAACACTGAAAACCCCTCCATCTGAGCCCTTCAGTTTTTGTTACTGTCTAGAAAGGCTCAGTAAAGCTTAGTTGTTTATTATTAACTGTTAAGTGTATCGCATTGTTTTCTACATGTGCTTAATCTATGATACATTTTAATTTCTGAGAATTGTCACATAAAATGGAAATTTTACAAGAAAAGAACAAATGGTGAAGTTAAAGGACAAAGCATGGTGCCTGTCCATGAGTCTCAAGAAGACATTTACTCCTTGTGTAAGCTTAGATAATTCACATAAGCCATTCGTGCCAGAGTTTCTTTATGTGTAAAATAGGGATCATAGAAATACCCATTTCATGGCTGTAATTAAACTAACACATGCTGAGAATACTGCTTGGTACATTTAGTCTAAAATATTCATGCCATTTGTTTGTTTGTTTATTCTTGCTGCAGCAGTTGCTATTTAGTAGTGTAGCTTATTCCTGCCTGTACATGAGAGCTTAGTTCCATTCTGGTGGTGGTGGTGTACTTCCTCATACGTGGGGCTGGGGCTAGGATGGCCTTAAAGATAAGGATACTTAGCTACTAAATCAGTGTCCTCAATCTTCTTAATGCTGCAATCCTTTAATACAGTCCCTCATGCTGTGTTGACCCCAACCATAAAATTCTCATTGTTATGCTATAACCGTAAGTTTTACTACTGTTATGAATCATAATGTAAACATCTGATATGCAGGATATCTGATGTGACCTCCCAAAAGGTTGCTGCCCACAAATTGAGAACTGCTATACTAAGAGGTATGAATCAGATGTTCTAAACCATTGATTTAGGATAACAGATTATAATTCACAGGCCACTTTAGGCCTATAATCTAAGAATGCTTTCTTTTCTCTCTCTCTCTCTCTCTCCCTCTCTCTCTCTCTCTCTCTCTCTCTCTCTCTCTCTCTCCCCCCCTCCCCCTTTTTTCCCCCAGACAGCTTCTCTCTCTGTCTCCCTGGCTGACCTAGAACTCTTTGTATAGGTCACCCTGACCTGGAACTCAGAGTCTGTCTTTGCCTCCCCAGTGCTGGGATTAAAGGTCTATTTTATCATGTCTGACTAATAGACTTTTACATTTCTGAATTATTAGGGGGAAAAAAACCTAAAAGATTATGCTCATGACAAATGAAAATTAGACAGTTTGGTTTCAGTATTCAGGAAAGGGGTGGAGTAATTTTGTAGGTATTCTTTATTTTGTTTTATTAGTAGGAGAGTAGTGAGAGACAATGGGCACCTCAGAGCCACAAAACTGGAAATACTTCCTGAGAAGTATTCATTCATAGAAGTTCGCATTACTTGTTTGTATGGTCATTGATTGTGTTAATTAACAAATAAACTTATGATTTTTAACTATCCTGCTTTGACAAAAGATGAACACATACATACAGAAGCATATGATTTCCACCAGTCATTTTTATGGCCATAAAATGTCTACTCTATTTTTTTCAAGTATGTGTTTGTGTGCGGAACCCAGTGGCATTGAGTTCCTTAGAGGTGTAGTTACAGCTAGTTGTGAGCTACCAAATGGTGATGCTAAAAATCAAACCCAGGTCCTCTGCAGGAGCAGACAGTGCTCTTACATGCTGAACCATCTCTCCAGCCCCACGAAGTTTCTATTTTGATATGATTTAGAAAAAGTATAACTTTTGTCTTGCTTCGGATTACCTCAAAGCTGGAATGCAAGTTCATGAATAAATTCAGTTGTGCAAATACTGACAGACCCCAAAGCCTTAGGTTTTCATTAGTGATTGTTAAGATTTGGCTTCTTCTCATTAATTATCAAGAGCAAAAGCTGATGTGTAAGTGTATGAATGTGGGTGTTGTTTGTATCTGAGTGTGTATTAAGGAAGTTTGTTAAATTTTTTTTGCTTATGATAGGTTTGAAGCAATCTAACAGTAATTGATTTTAGTAACAGCATGCCTTTAGAATATAATAGCAATAGAGTCCTTTCAAAGGTCACTTATTTGTGATTCAGAGTTTAGTTTTGGGAGGCCGGAGGTGGAGGTTTGGAGCATTATGCTTAGGGGACATATGCTTTAATTTTGTCACACCAGTCAGTCATTTGGGCAAGTAATCTTTGTTCCTGTCCTCATCTGTGTTTAACTGTGTGTATTTTGTTGATTGTGTAACCTTTATAAATAGAAGTATTTTGTCTTAGAATATCTGTAAAATCTTGTATCTCCTTTTGTCTAGGTTTATATTCTTTAAAGTCGATTTGTCAAATGTATTTGAATGATGACTCTCAAGGCCCTTGGAGTAATGGGATCAAGACAGATATGAACCCTGCCCTTGTAGAGTCTTGAGTCTGCTGAGGAAGATACACATTAAATTACATCAATATAAGTATGATCTGTATTGGGAGAAGAGAACTAAATTGTACAAAGGCGATATAGCATCTCAGAACTTCAGCTCATCTGGGTAAGTCAGAATACTTGTCTGTTCAGATTATTTTTGAGTTTTATACTGATATTTTAAATGATCTATTAGTAAATTGAAATTATTTTCAATTGGAAAAATATAGAAAGACAAAAAGTTGATGAACTTACATATATCATTTCAGTAGAACTACAATCTTCTGAATTTGTTTTTAATGGCTGATGGATAGATTTTTATAGTTGATTTTTCTAGAAAAGTATTTATTGAGTATAATGTCATGTGAAATTGAGAAAGGCACAAATAATTTTCTAAGTACTCTAAGTTTATCGTATTTGAAAATCAAAATAAGTATTTGCCCTTGAACAGAAAAGTATCTTAAAGTAGATTCTAGCTACAGGTTTCCTCTCTCTTACAATAGTGACTAACAGCTCTTAGTATAAAGCACATGGCTGTAGAGTGTACATGGAGTGTTCTTATACAAACCTGGACAGTATAGCCCACTGCACACATGTGTTATGTGGCATAGTCTATTGTTCCTTTAGCTGCAAACCCATGCAGCACATCACCTAACTGAATTCTGTAGACATTTAATACCATGCTTTGTGTGTATCTACATCTGGAAACAGTACAGTGTTGAAATAAGAGCGGTGGCGGGGCTGCGTCCCCAACACCCTGGCCACTTGGCTAGCTCATGCCCGAAATAACAACACACAAACTGTATTCATTTAAGAACTGCTTGGCCCATGAACTCTAGCCCTTACAGGCTAATTCTCGCACCTGGACTAGCCCATTTTCTAATGATGTGTGTAAGCACCCCAAGGTGCGCTTACCGGGAAGATTCTAGCCTATGTCCATCCGGGTGGGAGTTGCCTGGGAGGGCTGAGCATGGCGTCTCTGCTCCAGAGAGCAGAACTGTCAGTCTCTCCGGGAGCAGAGCAGAGTCTGCCCTCATTTCCTCTTCCGCCCAGAATTCTATTCTGTTTACTACCCCCACCAATGCTTTAACCTATGAGGCCAAGCAGTGTGTTTATTACTTAACCAATGAAATCAACAGATTGATATATGACACTCCCACATCAGTACAGGAAAAGTGAAGCTAGCATACCTTTGTAAGGCAGACATCGGAATAGAACTTACAGAACCTATGTGAAAGTGTTCCTCATCAGCAAGGAAATGAGGCATAAGAACACGTGACTGGAATGTAACTCAATACTTTTAAAATTTCATTTCTTACTTTATTTACTTATTCAATTTATTTATTTAATTACTTTATTTCTTTATTATAATTAATTTATTAGTGCTGTTACTTTTTTACTTTGTTAAGTTTTAATTTTTTTTTACATGTTACTTATTTTCTGGGGTGTCAAGGCTGACAGTCCCAGGCAGGGAGACATCACGCTGCCTGTGAGAGACAGATTGGAAGCAGAAGGAAGAGCTGCCTGCCTCAGTGGAGGACTGGGGAGGGAGTGGGACAGACCATTACACTGCTGCCTTCTGCTTTTTATATTCTTTGTGCTCCCTCTTCTGTAATGTTCACTGAGACTGGATAAGGGAAGTTTGATTGCCCTTTTAGGACTACACATTCCCTGGTTGCTTAATCTCAGCAATTTGACCAACTTTGAGTATTCATATTAACCTCTGGTCAAGATTTACAGAAGCATTGATCTTTAGGTATAAACATAAATATTTAGAAGACAGTTTAACAATATGACCATTTAGCAAAACAATAGCAGTAGGTTCCATACCTGACTAGTCATGGGTCTTTGACAGGCTGAATAGTACCAGGCATGAATTCCCTCTGTGGAGCAAGCCTTCAATCCAGATAGAATGCAGTTGGCCACACATATAATAATCACACCACTATTGTACCAATGGACATATCTTGTCTGGCATGTCATTGTTGTAACACAAAGGTCCACTGTGGGTAAGACTGTTGGTGACTTATTTGCTATCAGCCTGCATTGTACCTGCTGGTACAATGAAAGATTTCCAGAAAGGAGCAAGATTCAGGCTACTTCCAGCTTGGTTTCTCTATTCCTAGCAACTAAAATGTGTGATGTCTTCAATAATAGTAGAGTGGCTTTCCCCCATTTTTAAAACTGATTGTTTTGTCTTAATCTGAATGATATCTTTACAAATTCTGGATATTAGTATCATGTAAACATATTATATGATTTGAAAATAACTTCCCATCAGTTGCCTTTTTATTATTGTCTTTGATTCACAGAAGTATTTATTTTATGTATTATCTATTTTCATTTCCTGTGTATTTGTTGTCATAGCTGTTATATTTGGTTTTGATAATTTTATCTTCACTATCTTTTTTATTGATTTTTATTGTGCTCTACATCTTTCTTTGCTCCCCTCCCTGCTTTTTCCCTCCCCACTTCAAACCTCCCACAAGGTCCCCATGCTCCCAATTTACTCAGGAGATCTTGTCTTTTTCTACTTCCCATGTAGATTAGATCTATTAGATCACTTAGTGTCCTCAATGTTGTCTAAGTTCTCTGGGATTGTGGTTTGTAGGCTGGTTTTCTTTGATTTATGTTTAAAAACCACCTATGAGTGAGTAAATGTGATAATTGTCTTTCTATGTCTGGGTTACCTCACTCAAAATAATGTTTTCTAGCTCCATCCATTTTCCTGCAAAATTCAAGATGTCTGTTTTTGTTTGTTTGTTTGTTTTCTGTGTAGTACTCCATTTTCTAAATGTACCACATTTTCCTTATCCATTCTTTGGTCAAGGGGAATTTAGGTTGTTTCCAGGTTCTGGCTGTGACAGACAATGCTGCTAGGAACATATTTGAGCACATGTCCTTGTGGCACTATATCTTTACTATTTTTGTAAGAACAAAATATAATGGAAATTTAAAAATTAATTTAAAGAAGTTTCATTCACTAGGTTAGAAGTTTAAAAAATGTTACAGTTTTAAGTACAAAGTATATGTTGAAATAGGGATTGGTAAAATAGTGTTGGTGACTAGCTTCAATAAAACTTGTATGTTCTAGGGTAGGAATGTGAGGATTAGAATTATTAAGCAAAAGGAACAGTGGTATAAGAGAAATAAGAGACAGAAACAGAACAGCATCAGGAAGGACATTCAGTGAATACTGAATCTACCTCATTTATTTTTCACATGCTTACATATTTTACTCCAAAAGGGGAGGGGGCAGGCTACAGACTTCATTAACATGATAGAAGGAATAGACTTGAATTCTCCAACCTTTGGTCCAGGTGGAGTGGATCCACCTCTACACCCAAAATACTAATTAACCACACACAAGGTCAGAATCTCTTATTTGTAGCCACATCTGTTGTCAACAAAAATAAGCTCAGACTCTCTTACCTCCAGTCAAGATAGAACAGGCTCACAACTCTGTGGGCCTTCACAGAATAGATGGTGGAAATGTGGCAAAGAAATGAGAACAGAAGGTGAGGAAGGCTCTCCTTGCAGTGTCCTTTGAATTATTATCTCTGAGTGTCCACAGTAAACTGATGTGGAAATCTTTTGCTGCCTTACTACACTCTTCTCACCTTTCTGTGACCTAGTGTCTTGTTTTCAGTTAATATTGCCAACAAAAGCATTTGAAGTCTTATTCTAAAGTTAGCTTTAAAGTTTAGACAAGTAAAAGATGTTCTTAAATTACTTAATGTTATCTCAGTTCGTGATTGTATCTGATCAACAACAGGACCATTTAACACTAGTTGTTAATTAGTGGTTTTCAAGACCATTGGCATTGAGCAAGCTGTCTAGAAACACCTCTGCTGAGTTCAGGAAAATACACCAAGAACCAGCTCTTGAGTGGTTTCCTATGGCGTTGTGTCTCAGTAGAATTTAAGGAATTTATTTCTTCACATTCCATTTCTGTTGCCACTGTTTTTTTTCTGCCTGCATCTTTTCCTGCTCATTGGTTGTAACACAAAGGTTGGTGGTCTTACTTGCCTAATTTTCCCTCACTGCCCATCAGAGTCATCTTTCACTGGCCTCAGCTCTAATCCCTGTCCTCGAGCACTTGTAAGAATTAAAGCAAGCCAATTGTAGTCTGTGAGTATCTACACAATTTCAGGGCCCTGGAGAACTCAATAGCAAACATGTCCTCATGCCAGGTCAGGTGGCTTCCTTTCCTACCTGAAGCTCAGTTCATATGTTGGTGAGATGCTAGGAACCTGAGCTAACAGTATCTCATTGAGCTTGGGTGTTGCTACTAGTGCATCTTATCCTCACAATACATAAAGCAGCTTGATTCTTAAAGCTTAGGAATAGGAGCTGAAGAGATGGCTCAGACGATAAAAGCGCTTGACGTACAAATGTGAGGTTAACTTAGTTTGGATTTCTAGAGCCCATACAGAGCCAAGCCCAGTGACATGGATAAGTAATCCCAGAACTCCTGTGGCATAATAAAGGGTGGAGACAGGCGAATGCCCAGATTGTGAGCCAACTAGCCTGTCATACAGAGGAGCAAAGAAGAGACTATTTCAACCAAGTAAGGACTGGCATCCATAGTAGCTCTCTGGCCTTCTCATACACACTGTATAATGTCCATGCCTCCCCCCCCACACACACACAGAAAGGACTTTTAAAAACTGAATCATATTGAGCTGTTGGAATACTGTGTTCCTTTCCCTCTTAACTTTCAATAAATAGAGATGTTGACTATAAGCAAATTCCCAGCAAGCATATGACAATAGGAAGTAGTAATGAGTGACCATAGGAGGCAATAACTATGACAGATAAGACTCTTCGTTCAGTATTACATCCAAGGGCATTTGAAGTTTTTGACTCTTAAATAAAACTTTGTAACAGATACCACATTTTCTGTAAAAAAAAAAAAAGTCCAGGAGTGCCAATTTCATTACATCAGACTTTCCAGTTGAGCCTTATGAGAATGGAAATTCCAAGTTTTGTATGGTGGTTTTGTTCTGCTAGGCCTCTTTTCAAACCATTTTGCTCTAGGCATGAGTGAGCTAATCTCATTTGAGAAGATGTGTTCATTAGCAAAATTGTACCAAAATAAATTTCTCTAAGGTCATAGCATTTAATTTAATAGTATTATGATAATAACTGCCATAATTAGTTTCAGATTTGCCTTCTTTCCCAAAGGACAAGAATTTTTGTAGTCTTGGATGTACACTTAAAGCATAAGAATGACAGTAAAATTAATGTCATGGCCTTCAGAGCTTGTTTATGGATTTTTCTTGTGGGCTCTAAAGGACTTAGGGAACAACATTGTACATCGAAAATAAATCACTTAGGATGTGCAAGATAAAATTGGGTTAATTGGGTTCACCTGATCCTCAGCTAGGCCACACCTCAGTCAACCCAACATTTCTTATTAGTCAAGGAAGCATGATTTTATAATTAGCAAATTACTTCAGAACTACACAAAAATGCTTAAAGAATACTTTCTTCAAATAAAATATGTAGGTTTTTTTCTACTTATTGTTTTAATCTAGTTTGTTTTTAATTAAGAAATCACTTTGTCTTTTTATATTCATAGCAAGAATGTTCTGGTGCTATCAGGGCAGGTCTTTTGAACACGCACCCACTTTTATTTCGGGGATATGGGCAGCACACTGTCCTACAACTGGAGTTCTATACTCACTCTTCTAAGCCCTTAGACTCTGAACCCTGCTTTTCACTCATTGTCAGGGTTTGTGTATCAACAAAATGGACTGTTGACACATCCATATAAAATCCAGAGAAACATGGAGGTACAAATGTTAGAGTTTTTGAGGCTTTTGTAGCTGACTGAAATATATGCCTGCAATTTTCTCAAATAGTTTTAAGGTATTTTCTTATGTTGTTAGTTTCATCAATAGTTTTATTTCTAAATATTTCTGACAGTTCCATATTGTATACAATGTATTTTTGTCATTATCAGCCTCATAACTGATGGAGGAAGGTCATTGGTTAATTATAATAAAAAAAAAACTGCTTGGCCCTCATAGGTTAAAACATAGGTGGGAGGAGTAAACAGAACAGAATGCTGGGAGGAAGAGGAAGTGAGCTCAGAGGCCATGCTCCCCTCTCCCGGGCAGATGCAATGAAGCAAGCCGCCAGGTCAAACATGCTGAATCTTTCCCGGTAAGCGCATCTTGGGGTGCTACACACATTATTAGAAATGGGCTAGTCCAGGTGCGAGTTAGCCAAGAAGAGGCTAGATATAATGGGCCAAGCAGTATTTAAATGAATACAGTTTCCGTGTAATTATTTCTGGGCATAAGCTAGCTGTGCAGGAGCGGGCAGCTGGGTGCCAGGGACGCAGCCCCGCCGCTCCATATCTCAACACATAACTACTCGAGCTTTTCCTTCTCCTGTTGAAACCCTCCATCCCAAGGCCCTCCCTTCTTTCCTTTTTGTATGTATGTGATCCACTGAGTTTACTTAGTGCTGTTTGTAGGAGTATGTGTTGGAAATTATTTATTGGACCATGAAAACCTGCTAGTAGTTGTACCACAAAGAAAATCACATGTACCCACAATACTTAACTCACAGTAGTCCCTCAGGAGGGGTAGGTAGGGCCTATGAGCCCCTTCTTCATCCTTGTTGGAATGTTGATAGGCTTCATCTTCTCCAGATCTTGTGTAGACAACCACAGTTTCAATGAGTTCATGATTAAAATCTAGAAGACATTGTTTTTCAGCATCCTTTCCTAGTTTTTATTCTTACATTCCTTCTACTTGCTCTTCATGATGGGCTTCAAACTTTAGAAAGGGTTGGTAAAGATGTCCCACTTTGAACTGAATGCTCAACAGTTGTTTATTCTTAGCATCTTAATCAGTTATGAGTCTCTGCATTAATACTGCTCACTGCAAAATTAGCTTATTTCTCACCAATGTTGAAAGCAGCACTTATCTATGGATATAAACATAAATATTTATAAGGCAACTTGGAAACATGTTCATCTAACAAAACAACAGTAGTATATTCTCTTGTGGGCCTGTGTGCTCCTGAGTCATGGACCTTTGACCAGTTCTACAAATACCAGGTGTGAATTCCCTCCAGAGGGCCAGCATCCAGTCCAACTTTAGAAAGCAATTGGTTGCCCCTATAACCATTGCCTCATCTTGCTATTATAGTTTACATGATTTTCAGTAGTTATGGGGGATTGTTAATGACTTCTTTCCTTCAGCGTCCTACATAACACCTTCTAGTACTATGAATGCTAGATCTTAGAGAGGAATTTTCCAGGTCAGTTTCAACTTGATTTCTCTCTATCCTGTAACCAAAGTGTGATATCTTAATTCTGGTGGGTAATCAAAAGCACTAGCAATAACTTATGTTGGTTTATGGGCCTCTGAAGCCTCCCTGATCAGCAGCTTATAGGGAGATTTCCCATACCTGACACTAGAATTTTTATTTAAAAACCCATTATTTCCTATAGGTTATCTACCCACAGAGGGTACCTCTATTCAATTTTTGTACTTTTATTTTTAATAAGCTTACAAACTAGTAGGTTTTCATGTAGCTTTTTCATATATACTTAGTTTTGGTTAACACTCCTCCTTACCCCCTCTTCTCCACCCTCTCCACCACCATTTCCACTGAAACCTTTCTACCTTCAGTTATATCCCTAGTTTATGCCATGTGTCTTCTACTACTGATCCCTCTTTTAAGGCCTTTTCCCTCTCTGTTTCTATCTCCTTGGTCTCTACAAACACTCCAAGTTAAAAATACACTCATCTGAGAATTTAAGCTAGGATATGAGAGTGACTGTATGAATTTGCCTTTTCAGGGTCTATATTACCTCATTTAGTATAATATTTTCCATTTTTGAGCCATCCTGCTGCATATTTTGCTGTTCAGTTTTTCTTTAGCTGAATAAAATTCCTGTGTGTTTGTGTGTGTGTGTGTGTGTGTAACTTTATTTTCATTACCTAGTCATCATTCATCATTTGACAAGCATCTGGTCTGGTTCCATTACCTGACTATTGTGAATAAAGCATCAATTGAACATGAATATATACTTTATGTGTACACATAGAGGCAAGAAGTCAATACCCTGTCTTTTTCGATTGTTCTAATTTGCTTCTGCACTTAAATGTGGGCTTGGAAACTGAATTGGGTCCTTAAACTTTTCCCCCAGTACTGATACTTAAAAACTTCAAGAGACTACATGTTTAAAACAGAATCTTGCTGTACAGTTCACACAAAAGGACCCACCAAACATTGGACAAATGGATGAAAACATACTGAGATACGTCATTACAAAATTTTCTGACGTTGACCAGGCTTGGCACACCTTTCATCCCAGCATTTGAGAAAACAGTGGCAGGCAGATCTCTATGAGTTTCAGGACAGCCTGGTCTACATAGTAAGTTCCAGCCCAGCCAGAGCTACAATATTGAGGCCCTGTGTCAAAATAAAATAAAATGAAATAATTTTTAAAAATTTAACATGATTTCTATAAAGAAATAAATAAATTGTATGCAAAGCATTGAAGTCTTCATTGTCTTTATACTGATATGTCAACCAGAGGATACTGGGATAACGCTTTTCAGTTTCAGTCTAAAATTCTATACTTGGAGATTGTTATTAATCATCATTAATCATTGTTTTTGTTGATTGAGAGATAGTCATTTTTCATTGTTCATAGAAAGACAGCAGTAGATATTACCTAAAACTGAACAATCCAGAAATACAATTATATTTAGTTAACACAGGTGGATGTATTGATATCTGAATATTGATCAAATAAGGTTTAAGTGCTAAGAATTGAATGTGCTTATCTCTGAGCAAGAGAATGTGATGTCTATATCTTTAAAATAAAATAGCCATATTAAATACAGCTTTGACTTAAAAGTTTTAATTTAAAATTAAAAAGGAAAACATTCTTTCTAGCTGCACAGAAAGAGTTGGTACAAAAGATGAAAGAGTGAAGGCAGGAAGAGAAGACCTTCTGGCTGGGGCAGCAGCATGGGGGTGGAGCAGAGAGTGGCTTTGTTGGAGGCATGTGCAGCATTTTGTTCATAGGTGACCAAATGGAATGTGTAGGCAGTGAGTATTTTCCCCTGGAACCAGAAGAAAATACAACCAGACTGAAAATAACAGTTTAACATTGTAGTTAGAGCCACCAAAGTTGAAGGAAGTTTTAAAAAAACAAAACAAAACTTTGTAAAGGGTAAAGAAGTGAGTTTCTGAGCTAGAATTTTTCTGAACTTCCTGCCTTTGTTGAGGCAGAAAATGACCTCAAAACATTGTTAACCTGTCTAGGTAAGAATACAGGCATCACTTAAGGAACACAGAGACATAGGTGTATACACATTTTGTAAAGACAGACAGATCTTGCAACCAGAAACCTAACAGTTATTTTTTAACGTATATTCTATTCTGATTTTTTCTATTATTTATTGACAAAGATATAATGAATGTTTCTTTTGAAATAATTCTAGAAAACTTTACTTCCATATTAGCACCCTATTTTTAAATACTGATTTTTTACAAAATATTTATAACACACAGAATCTAATTTAATACTTTTTTCAACTAATAAGTTAAATATTATTTTTCTATCCCTTTCTAAGTTGTAAAAACTAAAGATGTATTACGGTAAGAAGAAATGGGGGCTAGAGAGGTAGCTCCAAGATCAAGAGTACTTACTGCCCTTTTCAAAGACCTGGATGTGGTTCCCAGTATCCACGTTGTAGGTTGTAACCATCTATATCTCTAGTTCCAGGGAATTCAGTGCCTTCCTCTGTTCTCTGTGGACACAGGCATGCATGTGGTACATAGACATACACATGGGCAAAACACTCATACACATATGTAGCAACTCAGTTAAGAGTGGTCCTCTCTCCACTCAACTCTACTGATACAGTGAGTTTTTAATGTTTTACACACAGGTGAATGGGCTAAATATGACCTTAAAAATTAATGGTCAGCCCTGTGTTTTAGCATTTTTTATTTGATCAGCAGTCATGTCCCTCTGAGAAGACCACCTTAACAGGTCTGAAGAGTAGAAGAAATATTGCTTAAATGTAAAGAAATTCTTTGCATTTTACTTAATACTAATACACAACTATTTAGAAGACAATACTAGTATTAGTGCAAATATAATATAAGCATTAAAAATTTCAAAATAGATCAAAATTTATTATATAGATAAGTTTTATCTTCTCTGATCCTTTAATACCAAATCCTTACGATTTGAAATTTTTATTTTTACTTTTTTTTTTTTTCCAGAACAGGGTTTGAATCAAGGGTGTTGTGCATGTCAGGCAAGTGGTCTAGTACTGAGCAACATCTCCAGTTATTTGCCTTTTAAATAGAACAGATTAAGATAGGAACAAACATTGCTACAGATGAGTATATGGGGAGTACTATTACCAGTTAGAATATTTTACTAATAGACTTTTATTATTTTAAAAAGTTAAACATCAAGTTATTTAGATTCTTTTAATCTTAAGAAATCCTGAATTCCATCACTGCTTACAAGTTTGTGCTGTTAAAGCAATGAAGTACAGCACACCCACTTTGAATGGGCAGTTGCTTATAAAGTTAAATAGTATGCTACTCCTAGGTTTTCATCCAACAGATATAAAACCATTTGCCTGTTCAGAAATTGAACATATACATTTATTACATTTATTTTGATAACCTAAAGTTGACAAATGCCTATTAGTGAACAAATGCCCGGTGGAATACTGTCAGCAGACTAAAAAGAGCTCTAGTGAAGAATGGGCTGTCACCTGCGGATTCATTAACTGTTCTAGCATCAAATCTGAAGTCTTACAGGACTCTCACAGTGTTATACCTTAAAATCAAGAACCATGAGATGACAACAGACTCAAACATAAAAGAAGGTCTGTCAAAGGGTCAGCTGCCAGCCAGGCTAGATCTGTGGCATATGCCAACGTGTAAAAAAGAGCCTGGGCGCAGTGCTGCATGGCTAAGCCCGTCACTGAAGCAGATGATGAAAAGGATCACAAGTCTGAGGCTAGCCTAGTCTACAAACCAAGCTCTTGTCTCAAACAATAAGCTAGGAAAGTTGTTCAAAGAGAATAAATACCCGCCATGCACAGGGCTCTCAGTCTCAGAAGCAGGATGCACACATTCTCAGAAGTTGCTGGTTTTCAAACACCAAA